AGGGGACGAGGAGCTCCGCGGCATGTACCCGTGAGCGTGATACGCTTGCCTGCAGCGGATAATGCCGTAAACACCACGCTGTCGGTATGCATCGCTGCGAACCAAAACCGGGTAGTGACGACGGTGCTACGGAATCCTGCGCCAACAGCGACGAACCCGAAGCCTTCACCGCGGAGCAGCTGCTCTAGGTTAGAGTGCCACACGTGAGCGAACCATGAGATACAGGGTGTGACCGGTTAGCCATGTCAAGCAGGGTGTGCCCAGTGCTCGCTTGCTGTTATTTGTTGTTGGTTGGGTCATGCGAAATGGTGCACGAAGCACCAGGTCGAAGCTCCTTGAAGTACTGGCCGGTCCGATTATTGCTGTTTTCAGATGGGTTTCCTTTTGTCCAACGTGTTGTAGAATTGTCGTTGTTGCTGAATTGTCGTCGCATGTTTATTCGCGTTGTTCGTCTCTCAGGATGCTTCTTCATCAGCGATCGGTTAGCCAAACAGCGGGGGCCAACGCTGGCGTTCAGAGTGCTACGGGGGCCATTTGCGAGCACGCCGCTGCGTCGTTGGAGGCGCTTGACAAGAACACGGTGGTGGACGCGACGCCTATCTTTTTCAACGGCATCAACGGATGTCCGTACGCGGGTTTGACCGCGTGTATCTCGCAAGCCCGAGCTAAAGCGTTCTTGTCGGAAGTCGAAGAAACGTTGTTGTTGGGGATGGTGGCGGAAGCAAAAGACATCGGCGTGCACCCAGTCGTCCAACTAGGCGAGTGGGGATACGCCGTGAGCGAGAGGCGGAGTAGAACTTGCGAACTGGACTGGGCCCATGTGAAGTACGACAAGGGTGACGGCAAGGGCAAGGGCAAGGGCAAGGGTGCGTCGAGGAGGATCGCTGCTGCCCGGGGCTTGATGTGCAAGGTGAGGATATTTGCGCTATACTGGGAAGCTTGCGATAGTTCTTGAAGCACGGAACGAATATGGAATACGTCGCTGTGTATTGCGCTGTGTGTGGCTTAAATGCCACGCCAGCCGACTAGTGGTTTGTGTTATTATCGGCCTTGGATGTCTCACATATTGAATGTCTCGAAGTTTGAGGCCGAAAAGTGAGGTTTTCAGGAGAATTGCGTGGTCGCACTTTGAGTTCTGTTACACCGGGTTGATGGCTCCAGAGGAGTGCGTTCGCTACCGTGTATTGGCAGTCAAGTGGTAGACCATTCCAACGATATATCCTACCGTCTTGGGTTTTCGTATGTGCCGGAAAAATGATCCACAATAATTGTGTTACCGTAGTCGACGGTGCCGTACCGGGTGAGCTTAGCCACTTAAATTGTTCTCCCTCGAGGGTAGACACAAAGGTGGGTAAGGGTTATTTTTCCACGTGAATACGCCGGGGGTGGATCACCCCTGGAGAGAACAGAAAAAAAGACTCTCATTCACACACTCTGTGTTCCGGCAATGGAGAAAATACGCGAGCAAGCGTTCGACGGATGACGGGTACCGTCCAAACACTGTATGTCCTCTGGGTGCGTCAGCACTGATGCGTTGTGATGGTGAAATGCTCGTGAAAGATCGTCCGAAAAAAAACGGGGGGAATTCACAATAATGGCGAAGCGTGTACTTACCCCGGGGGTAAATTTTAAGGGCGGGGGGGTCTAGAAAAACGAGCACCCCCGGGGGTACGACAACGTTTTGACAGCTTTTTGCCGAAATGAGGGGGGGGGGGGTACGACATTGTGCTCACATTGTGTGTGGGGTAAGCACGGTCGATTGCGCTATTCTCAAGGTACCGCCGTTTGATACCTTGTCCAATTTAATATCCCTCCGCAAAATACGTTTGCACCAATGTCATATGCATACGTCGCACATGTACCCGGCACAGGCAAACCGGGGGGGACCCTGTAGCGAGTACGAGAAGAAGAACCGAAAGTGTCTTCACACGTTGGTGGTCGCCCTGGCGCTTTGGCAAGAGGAGGGTATGCGAGATCAAGGGTTGGGTGTCGGGCAGGTAGACGTGGCTGGAGGTAGAATTCCAGACGGAACGCCGCGCACGGCGCAGAAAATGCTCGACAAGGATGCACCGGCGTATCGCAAGGGCTTGGCAAACTGCCTGAACACCATGTCGGTCTACAAGTTCCCGGAGAATCTCCCTTTCGGCCTGGGACGTCGTGGTGCCACCACGAACGCAAACGCCAGCATCACTTACACTACATCTCAGAAGACGTGTTCAGGGTGTGGTCGTGACTTCCCTACGGAGAATCAGCATACCGTGGTTGCAACTCGGTTGACAGAGGTGAGCGCAGCATCTCTGTGGGAACTTGTGGCAGTACCCTGCTCAGCATGCGGCTCGCCTTGTGGGTGCGAGTGAAGTCGACAGTGTGTGTGCCGGAGGCAAACATTTTAGATGCCCCCACCCTCATCCACTCCTGGGCAGGCTACAAATTTGTCCTGCGCCTGCACTGTCCTGGCTGCCTTTGAGTTGTTTCTCTTGTTGTGGTGGTGCTTGTGGCAGCATTCATGCTGTTGGCGCCGGCTGTCGAGTACCATGTTTGATGGCAGCAGAAATCAGAGAAAATAGCGTGAGCACCCCCACGTGTTGTTTGTGGGTGTCGACAGGCCGTGCACACTCTCCCGAATGCTCATTAAAGAGGGGGGAATCGGTGGCAATCGCCCGACCTTCCCCAAAATCCTGGAGTTGCCATCCTCAACGAAACCGCTGGTGATCATGCGAGATTTACCCGCCGAGTACGATATATCGGTCTGCTAACAATATTCTATGCGTGTCTTGTTGCAGGGGCCAGGCATGTCGAAAGTGAACGTGCACACAAACGAGTGTGAGACGTGCGGCATCCACGGATTGGCCAGTGACAACTGGCGGGAGACTGGTTTGTTCAACTACAACAACAGCTACCTGGTGGAGCTGTCTATCCTGTACAGATGCCTGGAGGCGTTCACCAGGGGTACGACTATAAGCGCCTTCTTCGAGACGTTCTTAGAACCTTTGGCGGGTGACCTGGTCTGGATCAAGGCGAACCCGGATCTCAGCAAAAGGTAAATTGTAATGTTCCACGTTGCTTATATAAATGTGTCCGTCAAGACCCACCTATTATAGCCATCCTTCTCACCAATCACTGTTTAGCTAGGCGTGTCTCGCAGCGAAAAATATGGCATCGTCGCATTGGATACCGAAACTACCCGGGCTCCTCATTTCGCACAAACTCAGATAATAATCGATCCTGTTTTCGAATTCGGTCTCCTTGTAAGCTGGCGTTCTGAAGATCTTTTCTGTTTCCCGAATTCTAGGCACCACCCATTGCACCATTTTCCCTGCGAATCTTCAATATTAGGAAAAAAATCCGTAGTGCCCACTCTACTCTGCTAGCATGCGAAGCGGTTCGTTGTTGTCGAAAAATGTGTTGATATTGCATCGAGGGGGGGGCTTCGTGCAGGCTTATTTTCTTGTTGAATTTTGAACAGGATGTGTGTAGTGCCAAACAACCGCATTTTGCCGACGATTTTTTCTTCGTGCATGACCTCCACGTCCAGGCTCGCAAACGGCACCAACTTGCTCAACGTGCTCAACAACATTTTCTTGGCGTTCCTGGCCCTCATCGACCACACTTTCGAGTTTCGGTGCTGGATGTGGGGGAAATTTCCGCCGATCCTCACTTTCGACGCCTGCATGAAGATCGCCTGCAACTTCGTGACTCTGGGGCAGGTGATCGCGTCGAGACCCGAGCAAGACATCAACACTGACCTCGTCATGAATCTTCTGCAGTTGAGCATGGTATCGCCGGCCTGGTTCGGCGGCACAAGGGTACAGTTTGTGGTCGGGGCCGGGGAGACGGTTGGAAACGCGCCAGCGTGGGTGTCGCCAGACATCCGACTGTCGGAGATCTTCCACAAGACACAGCGTGGGGTGTTGCAGGGAAGCAACAACACCGCCTTCGTTGAGCAAGGCAATGACGCTCTCCTTATCGAGAGGCTGGAGGGGAAGGCGATCGGTGACTTGTCCGGCATGGACGTGGCGACCCTGAAAGGCCACATGAAGGCCTGCTGGCCCGATGGAGGCGTTTCAAAGTGAGTGCAGAGTCACGGCATAGAGAATTAGAGTGATAAAGTGGTTGTGGTCTGCGGGCTCAGCTACGTGTGGGTGTGTGCCTTCAAGAACAACTGACCGCACGACCGTGTATGCATGGGCGCAGATTTGATCACCTGCTTTGGCATGAAACCGTTTTTCGTTTTTCATGTGGCGGGTCCGGGGTCTTGTGTCCCCGGACACGCCTGTATACGGCTGCCTCCTTTGGTTCTCTTTGTTCACCACCCTACCTCCGCCTCCCCTCTATTTCAAGCCGTTTATTTTTGGCTTTCGGGTGTCGAGCGAGGAGTTGTGTAGCAGAACAGCAACCGAATGTGTTTGGTCTGGGAAGCAACCCACCCTCCCTCCAACGCGTAGAGGTTGTCCCTGGAAATTGCCTGAAAAATGCCTGGATCGCTTCGTGGGCTAGCTATCCAGTTTTTCGATGTACATGTGGAGAGCATGCCCTCATGTGCTCGAGTTATATTCCTCACAAACAGTACCCCTTGCCCTTTGTGTACATTCTAAACCAGAGATCAGAAATTTGCCCATACAAGTCCAACGAGTTGAGACGCTGTTGATGTTGTTCGGAACCATCAACCATTTATTGGCGTGCGTCAGTTAGTAGGCGGCTGTTGAACGACGCGTGTTGTCCGGCCATCGCAGTATGGCTGTATTCCTCTTATGCTCTCTTGCGTCGTGTGCCATTTTTTCTTTTTTGCTTGGAGGTTCTCGACCAAGGAGCCGATGGTGTCGATCCTGCAGCAGCTGCACTCGTTTTGGGAATCAGATGGCAACCCCAACCGCGGGTCTTGCTCGAAGCATTTCGTGAGCCGAGAACGTGGCGTTTCAGAAGGGGTGATGGGCGTCTTCACGCCGAACAAGGTCATGGTTATCCACAAGGTGCTGCTTACTGCGGAGAGTGCGGTGGACATGAGCGATTGCGTAGGGGCTTGCCAGGTGAGAGGACGTTTCTGTGGGCGATGCCTCTCCGTTGTGTTCAGCGGGACTGTTCAGTTGGAATCACATGCCGGCATGTACGTTGCCTTGCCTTGCCGAGAGAGACATCAAACGTTCAGTTCATATATGATGCTCAGTGCGATGTAGGTTTGAGTCCTCTAGGGCACGAAGGAGCCGTGGTTGTTACATGACTGGGCCAAAGGATCTCGTGTTGGAGAGCGTAACTGCATAAAGCACGAGAGCAATGCCGATGTAGGAATAATGTGCGACCCACAAAGGTACGGATTTATCATCACTACTATGGTACCTGAAAACAGTTATCCCGCACACCTAGGTTGCCCTTCGCGTCCCCGGCGAAGGGCCGAAAACAATTCTTGTTTACAATTTGCTTTCGTGGTGTGTAGAGCCCACTTTACGCAAGCCGCATATGGGGGGCCCATCGTGTGCTACTAGTGTATTCGTTTCACACACACTTTGAGCGGATTAGGTGGTCCAAACGTGCTACGTGTCCGTTTTGTGGTCATGACTCGGATGTTCGCAAGAGTAGATCCTAGCTCGCGCATTGGGGTACCCGGACGCAAACCTAGGTCCCCCAGCGAGGCGCGCATGGTGTATAGAGGAATTGGAACCCTCGAAAGTATACCCCCCCCCCGGTGTTTGCCATCGGGGTTGTGTTTTCGTCGCGTGACAACGACGTTGAAAAACAAGCCCATCACTTCGTGAGCTCGGCAACCAGGTTACCGCTTTTTTTTGCCTTTGTTTTTTTTTGCGGTAACCATGAATGGTGGTCGAGCAGAATATGTTGTGCGGGGTTGAGAACTCTCACTCCGCGCAAAGGGGCTAATCGCAACACGTTGTGTTAAATTGGTCAAACACCCTCGAGGCAGTTACACCGTGCTTACAGCTGTCTCTTGAAGTGAAAGCACCAGAAATAAATTAAGTCATACGCAGCTGTCATCCGGACGCAAGGAAGTAAGCACAAGATGCCGAACACCCCTAGCAGGATGCAGCGCACCCTTCATGTGACTCGCCGAATACCTCACGCCGCTTCGCGCTTGGTGATGTGAGAGCCTGGTCCGGTGAGAACCCGGCGTGCTCCGTCCTGGCTTTGTAGGGATACGAGGTCAATGGTCTAACGACTACGGCATGCACGATTTTGAGTACACCCCCCCCCCGCTCGAAAGTATCCAAGACATGAACACGGGGACCTACTACGTGTGGCGAAAATGTAGGTGGATGGCTTGATTGACGTTAACCTGACTTGAAACATTTCCTGGAGTAATGACAACGTCACGATGACCACGCGCGAAATAGAAAACACCCTAGCTGGCAAGCGCCAACGCTCACAAAGAAGACAGCAGGACTTCTTGCGAGGGAGTAAAGGAACGACGGAGAGCATGACATACTTGTCACTAAAGTAACTGCCTGTCGCCGTTGCTTCTACTCGGCTTGGATCGGACAAACGTCCAAACCGCACTCTGTCCCTGACTCGTAGGCGATGTGTTTGTCGGTTTGGTTTAACTTCCGCCTTTGCCGTTTTCCGTGTTGCCTGCCCTTTGCCAACATGACAGCAAACGCCGGTTCTTGGGGTGTACGATGCCGGATGCAAAGCGGTGGCGCACATGGAAAAACACCTCCCGGGGGTCCTTCAAAACCGCGGGAGACCCACTCGGCTTGGCGACGATGGGGTCGGGGGGGGGGGCAGCGGACAGCAACGCTGCCGCAAATGACACCGAGGACGGCGAGCCCGCAATCACACCACGCGTCTTCTTGCCGGCGTTGGCGCACCTCGGCAGCAACAGCGCAAGTACCACCGTCGAAGCACCGCAAGTTTCTCTACCTGTACCACCTAAGAGAGACAGCAAAGTCGACGTGTATGCCCTCAAGGCTGCTGCCGTGGACGATCGTGTGCAGAGCCAAGTAAACGTCTACGACCTTCTGCACGCGTCAGCCGAAACACAGGGGCCAGTACCGAAGGCCGTTAACTTGGCGGCCACGAGAGCTGTGGCAGCTCTCCGGGAGGCAGGAATTCGGGTGCTCTCCTTGTTCGAGGTCCTCGTCTTCACGTACGTCTGGCCCCGAAACATCGCCGAAGATGAACCTGGCATGCTGGAGTTAGGGGCTACCGGGTGGACCCTGCGAAGGCCTTCCCACGGCGTATTGCCTGTCGGGACCACCGCTGAGAGCGTGGACGCAGTCAGCACTGGTGACGCCGAAAAGCACTTGCGGGAAGTGCTGGTGGTTGCTCGCGGGGCCAGGAATGGAAAGGGCGCATGCTTGCCAGATTGGTTTGGTGCGGGGGATTTCGTGGACGGTGACACGTCAACCCTCTACGCTACCCAGATGGACGGGTTGCATGCATACGCGGCGGTGAGTGCATTTATGATCAGATGATTTAGCAGCCGGAGGTTGAGTACACCAACCTCTTGCCTTCTCTTGATCATTGCATCGGTATCTCCACCTTTCTGAGAGCACTTGGGGTAAGGAATTCGGCGTTCGGTTTTCGGTTTGCCGATCATTGACTTTGCACACGGATGGACGAGCACTGTTCAGCGGTTTGCCAATCATTGACTTTGCCCACGGGTGGACGAGCACTGTTCAGCGGTTTCAAAAACGAAGGCTGTATCCATCCCTCCACACAATTCATCCCTCGCTAGCCCTCTAGAGTCTACCCTGCAGAATCGCTTGCCTGGGATTCCCAGTGCGTCGGGCCGTTGGTAAATTGGGTTAGAGCCGCCTCCTTCCTTCTCTTTCCATATGTACGCGTGGTGATATTTGTGGTGTGTTCGAACAGCCACCCTTTGCCCCGTCTGATTGTTGCTGCAATCAAAGTAAAAGGTCGTGGTCGAGAGGTGCACAAACTCTGCTTAGTGGCTCCAAAATCGAAGCTCCCATCTACCCCTCCAAATAATCCACCAGTCCCGAGCCCTCTAATATAGAGTTTCGCCTGTCGAAGTGCGCGCCTTCGTTTTCCTCTGTGCGGTGTGCTGTTGTTGGTTTGAAACGCGTAGTCAGAATTAAGGTGTTGTCGAACAGCCACTCCTTTACCTCGCGTGCGGATTGCTGCAGGCAAAGACAAAGTTCATGGTCGACGGAGTACAGCCGATTGGCGAGAAAGAGCGCAAGATCGCAGGTGTGTCTCATGATGGTTTTCTGGAGGGCTCGTATTCTCCGTTTCGTTGAAGGGTGATCGATGTCGGGCATCCCCAGGCTTACATGACATGGGTCGATGCGTGTTGGGTTGCGTAGTTCGGTTTACAGTTGATAACCTTCACAGCATGAATCATGAGCACCTCTGTGTCCATCCATTCGCTAACGCTTGACGCTCTTGCCGTGGTCGTGCAACTTCCAGAGAGTGCCATTCGCTGCGGCATCGGGTGTGGAGACGGTGTATACTCCATCATGGCCCTACAGATTGCACTGGCGGTGGATGTCCCCCCGCATGAGAGCGCGGAGAACTTCAAGGTGGCCGGGTACGATTGCGTCTGGCATGACACCACCTTCGACGACAAGTCGTCCGAGCACGCCAAATATAAGATGTGGCAGTCGGGGATGTTTGTGGGCCCAGACGGACCTCACGAGAAGAACCACAGCAAGGAGTGCCAGCGGCAGTACAGTGGTTTCACGACATGTGATGAGCTTGCCGGGATCAACCTGAACCCGCACGAACAGGACCATTCGAAGAAGGCGTTGTACCTTCGATCGCTCAATACCATGACATTTTCCAACTTCACTTTCACGCTAAGGGTGATCAACGAGCGCCAAAACCAGGGGTTCAACAGAGAAACCCTGAGGACGCTTTTAGCAAGTGTCACGGAACACCCAAAAGATAGCTTTGCTGGCTGTGAAGCCGCCCTGTGGAGGTGCGGTAGGTGCTTTTGCGGGAAGCCCGTCATGCGCGTATTCGACTGCCTGGGGAGGGTGGGCATTGTCATGCTTGCTACGGTGCTGGGGTCGACCGCTTGAGTATAGCAGAATGGGGGAAAACATGGTAGAGTATTGTTTACGTTGGGATTGTGCCTTAGAGTTGGAGGTGGGCGAAAGTCAGAAAGGTATCCGATTGATAGTTCGGCCGGGCAGGCGTTTTGTAATTTATCGCGTGGGACCTATTTAGTGTTTAGTGGACGTGCAAGGTGCATGTGCGAGGTATTGGAATGTATTATGTTTGTTGACGGGTTGACCACCGACCGCCAAACCCTTGCTAGTGCCACCACTTTCCGCTTAGCGTGTACTCCACAGTCGGTTTCGTGTGTTTGCGGATTTCAACCCGTGTTTAGAGTGGGTGATGCACATGGTGGCGATCAAATGACGTCTTTCAGGGTACACGCCCGTTGTGTACAGTGGTAGATTCAGATTGAGTGGGTCTGGTGTTGTTTCGCCTTGTTGGGCTCTTGGTGTGCGTGTCGGTCCCCGATGCAGCGATGCATCGTGCAGCGAGAGTGTTTATTAGGAGCTGAAATTTATCGAGCATTTTTGTCCTCCTCTGCCTGTGGCCCCTGTTTCGCGTGCATGCTGTATTGTACTGTGGAGCGGGCCTATACCAGGGGCCAGGCCACAACGCTTCTGGTGTGCGTATGTTCACATGATACATTCTTCAGGGTTGTCGTTGGTGAAACAGAGGGACATTTGCACTCGAATAGGTGTGAAAACAAACGTTTGCACTCGATGAGGTGTAAAAAAAACGTGGTCAACAAACACGGGCGTTGTTGTGACTGCCGGAAATGTGCCATAAGGGTACCCAACTCAGGTTGGACATCCACAATCGCCCAAGATTTCAGCTTGCCCGACTCGTCGAGGTAGTCGGTGGGCACGAAGACTACTGTTTTTCTGGGTAACGTCGACCGGAACACGTTGGAAATGGGTGCGCGCCCACCCGCGAGTGGGGGACCCGGGCGGCATCGAAGAAGCGTCGGAATTTGTTCGGATTGAGATGGCCCGAAAGTGAGCCGCGTGATCAGTATGAGTGCCGGGCCCAATCCTTCTTGTTCCACACCGGTGAATGGGTGTACCCAACGTTGGGAAAGAAAAATAATGGGAGAAATCGCCAACCCAAAGAGTAATGGCGTTCTTCTTGGGAGGCCGTACTGCTGGTGGCAACCAACCCTGTTTTTTGTTTGTTTAGGGCCCTTTCGCGAGTTGTTCTATGCATACCATGCGATGCATACGACCTGGAACAAACGACCTGATGTACATCATATCGATGGGACGGTCCCCGTTACGTGCCCATTAATTAATGATGCGGATGCCTTCCGTCGTCACCACACACCAACTACCATAGACTATATCACAGAGAGGATAAGACAACTCCCCACAGATGATCAACTAAATTTCTCTCACCAAGCAACGCACATACGGGGATGGTGCAAGGGATAAGACATTGACTTCTGTACATGTACTATCACGGCGCTCCCGTACGTGACCACGGTGGACTTGACCACGGTGGACTGCGAGGTGCCAATAATCTCCAAATAAATTATAACACATCACCATCATCATCGAGTATGTTTGTAGCACAATGACAAATGTGGTGTAGTTGACAACAGTAGCCATCTCCATGTATGTACGAATACATGGATGGGGAGGGTGCAAGGACGAGGATATCGCAATAAGGTCACACGGCACACGGCGCGCGGGTATACGGTATTATTGTAGCACTTTTATTTGGTAACCGGCGAGCTGTTTGCTGCCCCCTGGAGAAGTTACAGCTGTATTGCGCTGCCAGGCAAGCTCCGAGGATATTGTTGCCCACAAACAAGCTCCAGCTCATGGACTTCCCGTTTACACTCAGTCGCGCCGTCCCCCCAACGACCGACTTGTCCGGACGTCTAGATATAGACTACCGTACAGCAGCCAGCCGACAGCTTCGCTAGCTCCGTAGATACGTATGCAGCAGGGAAGCTGCTGCGACCAAACCACAACAATGGGTACTCTGCAGGCAGAGCAGGAACCTGCTCCCTACCCCTGCTACCATCACTGTGACTGATCGCACAGAACCAGCAGTAGCAGCTCAGCAGTAGTAGTACAACTAGCCTACCCGAGCTGTACCCGAGGGAACAGCTCCTGAGCGTACTGTACTAACGAACCAACCAGCATGGAGTAAACGCGGCGCGTTGTGCTCCGATGGATGCGGGGCTACAGCAATCCTGTCCCCTTATTATTCTCACATATGTACGGCCATCACCTTCCTCAACTCCCTTTTCAAAATATTGGAACCACGCCGTTCATTTCTTCCTAATATATCCCACTCTAAATCCTTTATGTTACTGGGGTTGGGTGGTAAAGGCCCCTCCCTGAGGGAGGGCGATTTTTTACTGGTGGTGCATGAAAAAAAAAAAAAAAGGAAAAGGAGCAAACCCCGGGTTTTGTAGGAAGAGTTCTGCGATCCGTCACGTGTTTGACTCGACCTTACTCGACCATCCCGCCCTCGATTAACTCGCGAGTTTTCGCACTAGATGCGCAAAGAAAGCCAGTACCCTGGATCGACTGCTGTGAGTCGTTTAGGCACCCTGACACATAGTCCTGTTTGATTTTGACGAGCCACCTCTATGACATACCACATGGCATATCATTATACACGCACACATACATGCATGTACGGTGTGGCTTTCTCTCTTCCAACAGAACCGCGTGACCACCAGTATTCGGATAGCATGCAGAGAGCCCGCAGCCCGCAGCCCGCACTGCATGGGAGTAGTAGCCGTCGCGAGCAGAGCACAGGACAATGGCGGGCGCTGCCTCGACAGATCCAATCATATACACTATCGTTATTCGTGCCCATGGGTACCCATGGGTACCCGTGGGTACCCACGCCCCATGGGTACCTATGGGTACCCATGGGCACACACGGCCACCAACGGCCCACGGAGGACGGTAATGGCCTTCACCTCCACGGGGATGGATCACAACGGGTACCAAGATTAAGCGTACTCTATAACATCGATTAGGCGGGGTCGACGAAGGCGCGGCCGCAGCGAGGTGGTACACCCAAGGTTCCGTGGGAGGCTCACAGCACAGCAGTTGGTGAGTCCAGCATTATTCCAGCTCGGCGCAAGAATGTAAAGAAAGAAAGGATACAACTGAACTGGCTTGGTGTGGGCGTGGAGGAAAGCGCGTCAGTGTGGCCTCACCCAGATCCACGGCGCTATAGGCTCACCCATCAGGTCCACGGCGCGACGCTGAGGGCGTAGTCGCATCTCCCGTGTTTCGTACAGTGCACGCGCACGCCGAGGCCTTGGGCACGTCTCTTCATCATACTGACTTGTTTCAGATTTAAACGGTACGGTGGGTTTAGTTGTTTTCAAAGCTCCAAGACATGTCGTCTTTCCTTCGTCAGGACGAATAGGTCCCTTGGTGATCATCCCGAATTCCCGTCGGCACCCGTAGGGTGCTACACCACCGATACCAACGGATCGCTACCCACGGTTATCACCAACGGGTGCCTGTGGCTACCCACGGTGACGACAATGGGCTAGCGTTAGGCATCAGTTTGGGTGCCCATGGGTCACCATGTGTGTGGCCATGAGTCACCATGGGCACCCATAGGCATTGCCCGTGGTAACCCATGGGTACCCATGGGCATTGTCTGTGGGAACCCATGGGTACCCATGGGCATTGCCTGTGGGAACCCATGGGTACCCATGGGTACACATGGGTACCCATGGGCATGCCCATGGGTGCCCATGGGTAACCATGGGTATACCACATGGGTTCCCATGGGTACCCATGGGCATTGTCTGTTGGAACCCATGGGTACCTATGGGCATTGTCTGTGGGAACCCATGGGTACCCATGGGCATTGCCCATGGTGCACGTGGGTACCCACCGTGTAATTTCACTTGGTTATGGGCCAATGTATCAAACATCTGCACCGAGACACAGAAATAAACGGAGAACCCCGACGCAATGAAGAGGGCCGCGGGGCGGGAAAGCTTCGGGTATGGTTTGAAACCCTTTTGTCACCTGAACGGGCACGCACGAATGCGTGTATACTACCTCGGGGAGAGATAAAGTAAGGAACAGAACGTCAATTGGCAATGCGGGTTCGCTTCGGCGACGATATGAAACCCGGTATGTATGTCGTGACCATCTCGTGTCCACGTGGTTGAAACCCCCTTACGCTTCTTGGGGCGGGGTCGCTTCTGCCACGACCTGAATCCCTTACCCCTTGCTGTATATGCCCCATATTCGGCACTATTTGGCTCGGTCCTGAAGAACCACGAAGGAAATACTAACATACGTAATGACGCCACAAAAAGACGATGTTGTGAAAAATATATGAAGCCAAACACCGCACCATAGAAAATCCACGCTCGACACCTTCACGACGAACTCCGCGTGGGACATTGTAAAATATCGTCGTTACGCTGTGTACGACGCAACAAGGAAAAAAGATGTCGTCGGAACCAAGATATTGACAAGAAGTCGGAACCACGATGTTGACATACACACGGCACATATCGTCCCGAGAACAGACAACACTCCCGCCAGGAAGGAAACCCATACCGGGAAACGTTGGCAATTTTCAATGTCAACCGTGCAATGGGACCAAAAAACAACGACAACAACGTCAACCCATTCTAGTAAAAGGAAGAAACGTCGCCGATCAAAGTGACATGACGCAGCTAGATAAGAGGAAGCAACCTAAACGGCTCGAATGTACGTAAAGCAGCCCCATTAGGTAGCGCGAATGGTGTAACCATAACCAAGTGCATCCTTCAGCCCATCACTCCAGGACATCTGTGCGGGTGGGATTCCTCTCTGCTAGGTAGAGAGCACCAGGGAACTCGGATCGGTAGGAATGTTGGCCCGCTCTCGACACACCGTAGGAGGACGAAAAAGATGGCAGCGGGAGCTGTACGGTTCCTGACGTCTACAACCTGCCGTTCCGGATGTATGTGTTGTACGTGCTTCACTAACGGTCAAAGGTCGGGTGCTGGGACAACAGCTTTTTGGTGAGCAGGAGCTCGTTCTTGAAGCAGATGTTGTTGTCCAAGACGAAACGGTTCAGCACCTTTGGCATGCGCATGAGGACATGTCGAAACCCTGGTCAACAAGAGAGGCATGCGTTTCAGAACAGGTGTGGGTAGTTAACGTAGTTGGAGGTACTTAGCCTTAATGGATGAAACAACACGGACTACGAGTGAGACAGCGAGGAAAAGACATCAACGGGGGTCTGTAATGACGGTGTTAACCAGAAACTGGTATTGGTTCGACGCAGGGTGTATCTGACGCACGGCTTAGCCACCCGTTGTTGGA